TTGCAATATTTCCAACGCTTACTGAAACGCATACAATTGTTCGATAATAATTGCGATAGTCTAATTGAAACTATTTCGACAAACTGCAACACAGTTTTGAAACTGACATCGAATAGCCTAACGTCAGAAACTTTTCGTTTCATCATCTGTCATTCTCACCAGAGACGAAATAAATACTCTAATAGAACAAAAAAAAAAAAGAAAAGAAACGAAACCAGTCGTATATCAGCACTAATGACAATAAATAGCATTGTCGTCGAAAATTCTATGCCTCGAGTTAGCTCGATTATCGTTTAGAAACTAAATACCTCTTTACCGTATAAAGTACAAATTTGCAAAAATTCCTATAAAGAAACTAAGAACGAAGACAGCAAAACTTCATATCTCACACTAGTCGTCTTTTTTTACGTGAAACCTTTCGTTTTAAAATTGTCATTCGAACACCGCTCGAAATGTAACGCGTGAAAAAAAAAGAAAGCATCGCGTCTAAGAAAACTACGTCTCACACCTCCTCTTATTATTTGGTTAGAGTTTCAGCTTAAAAAAATACAATCACCCGTGTCGTTTTCCTCGACGTAGCAGCGATACAGTGAAATTTACGAACATAATCACAGCGCATCGCGAGGACGAAAGTGATCGGTTTAAAGCTTTGTACTAAAATCTCACGCTAAATCCTCGAAATAGACCTCTTCTCGCTCCACCGAAAAGATCTCGTCGTTCCATTTGTACTAGCAACAAACTCTAACGAGTTAGGTGTGTGTGTGTGTATATATATATATGTACGTGTATAAACGGTGTGAATGAACAAACGGTGCCGTTATTGCTCGACACGAGAATTCCTATCGAGGCGTATCCCTTCGAGACACAGAATTTTGGGAATTTTTAACGTGACAACAATGGAATGTAGAAAATTCAAATTTGGATAAATAAGTATGCTTTGAGGTATACAGGGTGTCCCAAAAATGTTGGAGTTCCTTGAAAGGGGTTCGGGGGTTGATTTGAAACAACTTTTTCCTTGGCAAAAATGTTGTGCGAGGGTTCGTTAAGGAGATATTAACAGAAAATCGACCCGACCAATCAGAGCGCATAGTCTACGCTACTGCGGGCCGCCCGCCGGCATACTCGCGCTCTGATTGGTCGGGGTTTTCTGTTAATATCTCCTTAAGGAAACCTCGCACAACATTTTCGCTAAGGAAAAAGTTGTTTCAAATCAACCCCCGAACCACCCTTTTCAAGGAACTCCAACATTTTTGGGACACCCTGTCTACTAAAGTTTCAAAACGGTCGTGGTAGAGTTAGTATCAGCCATGAAGTATCGAGCAGTAAAAGCCAGAAATATCTAAAATTATGATTTCTTCGTTGCGTGAACTTAATCCCAGAATTCTTTCACTGGTTCAAATCAACCTCTGAACCACCCTTTTCAAGGAATTCTAACATTTTTGGGACACCCTGTATATTGTTAAATTTCTCTTAAATTTTTCTTATGTAGCATCATTTCAACTGATTACCACGGGATCTCAAGTATTACTAATCCAACCGACTTCAAATTTTCGTGGAATATACTTTTTAACTATTACTTTTACAGGTTTATATATTGAAATTTAAAATTCCTACATTCCATAGTTTTCATACTAAAAATTCCAGAATCCAGTCTTCGGGGGATATTGTCAGGGTACTGTCCACGCGTGAGAAGAATACCACAAGTCCCGCCCACAAGATGCGTATAACGACTATTTTAAAAACCTAGCATCTACACACACGTAGCTTGATAATCGTGTACTGTTTAGTTACATGTGAGATAAGGTTTTGTACCAACGATTGTTTTTGTAGTCGTGGGCGGGTACAAAGACTATGGAGCGGAGTTTCTGGAACTCTTCTCGCGCGCTTGCGATACCTAATTGTTTGCCATAAACGCTGGAGTTTCGATATCGACGGACGATTGAACGTGTTCGACGAAAATATCAGATTCTGATCGATCTGTTCGTGACGGAAATAAATAGTCGATTACAAACTAACGTAAGAGAGAAACATACAGGAGAATTTGAACTAAACGGAGCCGAGGATCTTGGTCGAAAATTCTTTCGATTGCTCCTCGAAAATCTCCTATTCCGCGGAAGCATTAAATAAGGAGTAAAAATGATAAGGATACTTCACGATAATACAGCTGTACGGTGTCTAAATGAATCTCTTGGATCAGTGTTTCTCAAACCTTAGCAGTAAAATTATTATTTTTTTAATATATTTCAAACTTGTTTTTTTATCTCATATATTATAATATTTCCATATTGTGGCATTTAATTGTGCCATATATTATATTACATATTATGTCCAGTCCACCAAGCTTTTTAGTTTTCAGTTTCTATTTTCATATTTTTATTACTTTACTTTTTAATTTTATACTCATCACTTTCCTTCGTTAAACACTTTTATGTACGAATGTATTTCATACATTTTTTAATCTTATATCTTTTTAAGCGATATTTACCGTAGCATTACACAAGATACATACGGAAAGAAATCGTATAAATATACTTGGTAATTATTATTTATTACTATTTCGTAATAAATTCCCACAATAAACTCTCATTACTAAACTTTCAAGTAAAACGATCTTTTCTACTGTTTCTTTTCCTACTTTAAAAGAAGCAGAGTAAAAAATGATAAACATGTTATAAATACAAGACGAAATTTTGATAAAACAACACAGAGGCTACAGCTGTTCTAATCTAACAAACTTTTTACTTTTCAGTTTCTATTTTGGATATTTTTATTTCATTTCAAAATGTATTTTTAATAAGAATAGAATACAAAAAGCATTTCATTAATTCTATTATATAGTATACTTCCTTCTCTTATTAACACTGTTTGAGAAACACTGACCTAGATTTCATCTTTAGAGATCTTTGTTAATAAAACCAACGTATCCGAAAAATTAGACGAATAACTATGCGTCACAATATGTTCCATGAATTACTAAATTATTAGATATTCGCACCGCTAATGAAACTGCAAACCTATCACCCGTCATAAATCATCTTTGACTATCTTTTTAAATAGTTCACAAATTGCTGAAACGAAAAATGAGTTCAATTATTTATACAGTGTAACGTAACGTATGGTACACCTAAAAAAAGGTATGACCTATCTCGATAAAAGAAGTGGAAGATGAATAATAAATTTTATACGTCGAATTCATACTCACATCAGAGAAACGATTTTGAAGATCTTCGAGTGTAAATATTATTGTTAAGCTCTCGATCAATTTGTCATGAATTATTACTACGAAAGAATATCGTCTCATGCACGTAAAAGTATCCGAACATGTTTTTGTATACTAAAAACTAATTCCCAAAGAAATGGATAAGAAGTTCAAATGTTAGTATCTTAACGAGAATATTTTGAACAATTTATCGGTCAGATACGAACACTGCCACTCGAAATGCGTTTAATTATTCGATAACTATGACACGTGTTTTTCTCATCGAGTTTCACCCAACAAATATTTAAATACATTCTTCACGACAGTGAAGGGATTTACTTCTACGAAGAAATTTATTCCGTTTGGCTTATCTTTAAATCTGGGATATCTCTCGATTTACTTTGCACGCGAAGAGTTATAGTTATAATTTCTAGAATGTTGCTAACCTCGGGGAAGAAATCGTATCGGGGAAATTTGGAATTTCTGAACACATTGAGCGAAGAAAAACCGTAAGCTCGGAGCTTGGCTCGGTAGTCTAGAGCCATAAAAATCTGACACGCATCGGTGTGCGATCTCCAAGATCGCTATAGTCGTACCGAAGGGATAAAATTCATTTAACGTTTTCCCGAGCGAATTGAAACTAAATCCTGTATTAAATTAGCTAAAAATTTCAAGTTGAACCCAGAACAGACAGGTATCTGGCCAGGTGCGAAAATTAAAACATTATCTAGAGTGCACTGAAACGAGATCTCGTTGTATCATGAACGGAACAAAAGCTTGGACGCTCCAGGCCATCTCCCAGATTGTGAATCATACTATTTTGGTCGATTCAAGCTTTTTGAATTTGAATTATAAGAGATTATTCAAGAATTTATTCGACAATATGAATTTTCGTCGTGTTTTATTTCGGACAACTATGTAGTCCCGCAAAAGTGACGTTGTCCAAGAATAGATAAATGTAAGTACAGCCTATTAAATCTTGAGTATGATGAAGAGAAGGTTATAACTGTATCGGCCGATGGCTGACCTAATGTATGAAATATTTACTAAGAGGGAATTATTCATATTCCCTCTTTTGTAAATCTTGAAGTAGATAGTAGATAGTACATAGTAGAACAATAACAAATTAATTTCATATAACAGAGCTATTAGATATAGCCATTAGAAAACACTGTGCACCGAATCCTGCAAAGCTTCCTCAGTGAGTACTTCGATAATTATTTTGTCTTAGTCACCCTATAAAAAGGATTAACCTTTCCGCCACGACGGGAGACTGTAGTCGCTGCAAAACTGTGTACATTCGCACTAGACTTACAATTTCGACTTTCGTTGAAATCAAATAAAAACAAAATGAAAAACTATTCAAACAAAATATAAATAATTAAGCAACTGCAAATTGGGCTAAGCTTCGGAACATGCATTAATTTACTTTGTTAAAAACCATACGTAATAAATATGTACACATTTGTACCAAGTGGAATAGCCAAAGATTGTGAGCCCTTACTCTTTTTAAATAAATGAACTTGAACTTGAACTTGAGCTTGAACTTGAGCTTGACTTTCACTGGATAATTATTACTTTGTTAATACTTTGTTTACGTTCTGAGTCTACATTTACGCCTATAATATAATTGAATATCACTAAATACCGCTTTGATTCACTTTGGACACTGTCTGCGCGCAATATGTACACTTTTGGCCCGGCGAATGGGCCGCCATGGCGAAAAGGTCAAAAAGAAGACGAAAGTGGGGGTTAGCTAAGCGATGTGGTGGGGATGACCCTGAGTGGCCCTGAGTGGCCCTGAGTGGCCCTGAGCGACCAAAAACTTTCGTTCCGACTTCGATACACCCCGATCCCGCTATTTTCCACTTCTTACTCGCATACAATGCAAGAAAACGCTCTTTATGCGCGTCATTGTCACATAACACACGGCCAATTATCATATGCATTACGAATTCATACGATCGAAGGGTTTACGATAAATATATACGCGGTGAATTGTCACCTCTTTCACCCGATTTGTATCACAAATAAACTAAAATCCTTTGGATTTAAAACGGTTATCCATGTAAGACACTTAATCGCTATTTCGTGATACTCCTCGCGGTGTGCAAACGGGCACACCAAAGCGCAACGCAATACGCAATTCTTCGGTGTAATATCTCGGATACACCATTTTTATGTTTGTTCGCCGTGTTAAATTAATTATTCTTACCAAACGAGTTTTCCTCGGTATAAGAAAAAGACCTACGAAACCTACTGCGACCGGGTTTCCACGATCAACGACAATTAAGAACAAGTTCGAATATCCATGAAGAAAAAACACGTTATGCTTATGCTTTGCGAAAACTATACCAGTCGACTCTCGGCCAGCAACGTCTTTTTTCTCGCTTCCTGGTGAATAGAACTAAGAAACCTCGATTCGTCGATATTCCTTTCAACTGCGTATCCGCTAAAATGCCCCGGGGAACTCAGAACAGCTGACGAAGATTCCGTTTCGTTACACACAGTGTGAGTTTTTCTGTTTTCTTTTTCGTCAGAAGCGACCGGAGAATTCTTTGAATGAATTTCTAACCCGTTCAATTTTACAGATGGCTTTCATGGAAAGCATTTCGGTCTTGGTGGCACACAAAAGAGGTGAACGACTTCGATCGGACGGTTTGTACTTTAAGGGCGCTGTTTTTGGGCAAATTGAAACAGTGCCGTACTTGCGCGACTAGGGATGGACGTCTTCAAAATAGTTTGTTATTATTATACGTCTAAAATACTGGATCGTATGTATTCGGGGAACGACCTGAATTATTGTATTCTGCTGCGATCAAGTTCATGCTGACGTAACTTGGATATACTATTCTATATTTAATTATTAAAAGATACTTTTATTCGGTTTCATTGACGAATAACAAATTTATGATTACTTCAGGTCGTATGTGTGGTATTAGTATGGTGTTGGTTGAATAAAAGTACATGTAAACGTATATATGTGTATACATATACAATCAGTCTCATAAGTTTCGTCTACCCTCATATTTATTGAAGAAATTTGTCTAAATTAAATGACAGGTTTGATAGTAATCCAATTTATATGAATTTTGCTTATTATCCAAATAAATGTTTCATAATAATAATAATGAATACATATGTATAATGAAACATTTATTTGGATTATTCATTAAAATTCTTGTAGATTAGATTATTATCAAAAGTATCATTTAATTTAAGTAAACATAGAAGATACAAATACTTATGAGACTGACTGCATACATATACATATACACATATACATCTCCATATTCGAATAAAACATAAATTAGTAATTTATTCGTAATTGGAGAACTTTTAAAAAGCATTTTGCCCATCCCAGGTCGCAACCGTGCCGATCCTAATGGAAACGAAAGTCAGCTCAAATAGGTTCTCGTTCGTCAATTGTGGGTGTCGTTTTATGAATGATCAATCGTTTTCGTTCGGTTTCGTCGAGCGTAATACCGGTAAAGCTAAAACACTTTTCGTATGCACCACACGGATAACAGTAGATTCGATTAACTCGACGGTGTAAGGCAGTCGAAACAGAAATCGCTATGAAATTCCTCGAACCACAGACGGAGTTTTTGTGTTTTTGTTATATAGAAGTTTCGTTTCGAAAAGTTCTACGTGACAATATTTTTTTCCTTTTTAATCATTTTATGCATTCGATCGAACGTCAACGGACGCACATCCGACGGTACAGCCTTGCCCTTGTTATCTTAGAACAGTTTTCACCGAGCGTCTCGCGTGAAATCTTTTTTTCGTATTGGAATAATCTTCCTTCATTTCCAATGTTATGAAAAAGAGATGAAAAACTGGCGAATTTCGTATAATTTTCACCAATTTTCAACTAAAAGTTTGTTATCTCATCGAGTAGAAACTTCGAATAATGAATAAACTGCAACTATAACTATTGATCCATTCTCTATTCGATAAAAATTATGGTTTAATCTCTTGAGAGATATCGACACATGTGTATACATTTGCTTTCATCAGACGAAGTAATTAATTCTGTGCCTTTATATTCAATCATTCATAACTAGACTGCGAATGTGTATGGAAATTCATATTTTTACAGGCACAGAAAAAAAATTAATATTTATATAACTAATATATAAAAATTACCCTTCTTTACGATCACAATGCCTTTCAAAATTAAACATACACAATATTAACTTGAAACAATATACTCAATATACTCCATATTGATGTTACTTTCAATAAAATATACTACAACAAATTCCTGCAAAAAGTCCAAAATTAAAAATTCCTCCCTCAAGAGATTAAAAATGATACTACTTGAAAGATCCACCAAAAAATATCAAATTCGACGCGTTCAGACACTCGGGCCAAGCAATTCCCCCCAAAATGTTCATATGTTTCTAAGATGCATCTTATTTTTCAAAACGACCAGACTAGAGGAACGAGAATTTAAAAATTCTCGGCGAACACTCTCGCTAATCGGCTCCCACGACTTGCATTAGGAGTATATAAAGGGCAAGGCTGGCCCCAGGCACATCCATGCAATCCTCTACTCATCTGCGTTTTTTTTTCTTCGACCATTTGTTGCTTTTCTTGAAGGTGGAGCAGACCGAGGTGGTCGCGCCATTAGCGGGGCTCCTTTCGACCACCTCTCGGCCTGTATAATCTCCCTCCGCGTTCGCGAACACCACGTTGGCGTTCAGCTCGTCGGAGGAGCTCGAACGTTCGGGCACGACCTCCTGCTCGGAATCGCTTCTCTTCTCGGGATCTCGTTCGGGCTCGGACGAGTCCTCTTTCAAGAACGCTAGATCCACGGGGAGCGGTTCCACCTTTGACGAGCCATCGAAATCGTACTCCCTCTCGTCGCTAGATCCCTCGAGCTTCGAAGGCTTCTCGAATCTCTTAACTTGCGTGACGAAAATGTTGAAAAGACGGCTCCCTGACGGTTTACCTTCCAAACTGTCCAAGAGTTTGCTCCCAAAAGATCTCATCTCGGACTCGCTTACATCCACCTTCTCGCTGGCTTCGGCCTGCGATTCCTTTTGCACCTCGGGCTCCAACGAAGCAGCTCTTTTCTTGACTATGGAACTCCAGGAACTACGTTCCACTTCCACCTCCGTTTCTCCAGGAACTAGCGTTTCTTCGGAGACGGTTACCGTGGAAATCGGAGGTTCCGTGAGAATGGGCTCGATAAACGTCTCCTTCGCGGGGAGTTCGGATTGGTCTACCATTTCGTCGATCATTGTTGATCTAAATGAAGAAGTCTCGAGATTTTCGGTGTTCTTTACTTCGGGAAGAGTGTCCAATTCCTCCGTGATGGGCTCGAAATCGGGCTCCTTCTTCGTCTCCTGGTCCACAGGGTTCTTCTTCCTCACTATAGAACTCCAAGAAATGTCAGCTGTAGGAGCTGGAGGCTCTCCAGAGTCCAATTCGGTAACGGCCTCGCGGAGCTTGTCGATCATGGCCGAGGACCGAAACGAAGACTCGTGCTTTCGACGAGTTTTCTTACCTTCGACGCTCTGTTCTTCCGGATTTGCTTCAACGCCGTCCTTTTTCTCCTCCATCGAGTTCTTCCTCACGATGGAGCTCCAAGATATCTCAACTGGCTCGACGACAGGCTCTCCAGAGTCCAACTCGGTGACGGCCTCTCGAAGCTTGTCGACCACCTGCGAACTCTTCACTTCCGAGCTCTTCTTCGACGAAGTTTCTTGTAGCTTCTTCTTTCCTAAGTCTGGCTTCTTTGCAGGATTCCATTTTGCAGTTTCTACGGATTCGGGTGTATCCTCCACCTCGACGAGTTTATCGTCTTCCTTGGGTATCTCTCGTTCCACGGAGATACTCTTCTTTTTGACGATGGCGCTCCAGGAGAACTCGGCTGGCTTCTGGGAGCTCGACTCCTTCGCAGTTTCTTCGACAGCCCTCGGTTCGGTCGAAACCTCGAACTGAGGGTTGCTCTCGGTGTTGGATTTTTTATTCTTCCGAGATTTCTTGGGTCGAGTCACGCTGACCTCTGGTCCAGACAGGATTTTACACTCTGGAGCCGACACTGCGTCGGTCAGTACCTCCATCTCTGCCTTCTGCATCGCGTCGATGTCGATGATCTCGATACCAGCTTGGGAACGTTTCGGTGGAACGTTGGAGGGCGATGTCTTGGCTTGACGGGACTTGATCTTCTTCAGGGGACTAAGAGATTCGCCGATCCCTGTGTCTTTAGTACACTCTTCCAGATCCTCTTTCTTTTCCACGCTTTTAGACCTCCAACTCTCCTTGATGATCACTGTCACGTCGGCTGCGGACGAGTCACTTTCGATCACCACGATGTCCTTTGTTTTCTTAACGCTCTTCGGCTTCTGTTCCACGGGAGTCTCCTGGGACTTCTTCATGACTTTCTCACAATCGTCTTTAACCACTTCAGACGCCACAGGACAGACATCGGAGTGCTGCACGTGTTCTATGTCGTCGTCGGAGAGCGTACGTTTGCTGGCGGACGAGTCGTAGTCGCTTTTCTTAGCCTCGAGCTGCAGATCCTCTTTGCTCTTCTTGTCGGGCGTTTCTACAAGCTCGGAACTGTGTATGTACTCCAGATCGTCGTCAGATATAGTGTTCTTGCTGTTCTTCCGTTGCATAACAGGGGACTCCGCACACTTTTCGCCGTCGATGCACTCAGCCTGCTGCAATTGAGTAATCTCGGATCTCTGGATATGCTCGATATCCTCGTCAGACTGAACCAACGTACCTTCTTTGCTGCAGCACGGAGTCTCGACTATGTGATACTCGCTGGAGCTGAAATCGTCCGTTGACTCCGACGGTGGGGATTTGTACTTGTCGACATCCTCGGACTTCGATTCCTCCGCTTTATCCGTATCTTCGGCTACGTATCCCAATTCGACGATTGGCTCGGGTATATTCCCAGAGTATTTACTCTCCTTCTCAACCGTTACCTTCGCTTCTTTGCTATCCTGAGTCGCGGAAGACTTCGATTTGCTCTTGGACTTTCCCGTCTCCTTTGAAGATTCAACTTTGCTCTCGCTGCTCTTGCTCTTCGATTCCTCGAGTATAGTCTTCTCGCATACCTTTCTCTTGCAACTGTTCTTGAACTCTTCGCGAGTGTCCTCGACCACGATGCTGTCCTCGTGTTCCTTTAATATGTACTTCTTCATCGGAGCTTTGAACTCTCGCTTCCCAGAGCTGGCGGCAGGCGCGTTTCTACCCAATTTCTTCGGTCTCTCTAGCTCGGGAGCTTTCTTGCAGTGCGCGGGGGCGTTTCTTCGTCCTTGAGCCGATTTGTTCTCTACCAGGACGACGCTGTCGTCGCTACAGTTAACGACGTACTGCGCCTCGGGCACGGTTCTCTCGTGAGTTGACTTTTCCTCCTTTCTGTCGAATCTCTTTACCCAGGTGGTCTCTTTGGCCTGGGTCATCGGGCTGCTGGGTATCTCCCCCTGTTCGACGCAGAGACTCAGACTGGTGGGCATGTCTCGAAACGCTTCCTCCTTCTCGAAGTCGATGGAACAGCTCCCGGGATTGGCGAGCGGGGCGATCTCCACGCAGAGCAGTTTTTTTTCTTTCACCTCGCAGATATCTTCGTCGGGAACGCTGTCGATCGCGGGTTCACTGGCTGAACGCATTTCCGCGCAGATCTCGGTGAGGTCGCGGAGCGTTTGGCTCTCCGGCTCGAAATCGCCGAGCGACGCAGGGCCTTCCTCGGCGCACACACTTCTAGGTGGTTCCGGCACGTGGCACTCCTCCGCGGAATCGAACTCCAGACTAGAGTTAGCGTCTTCCTCGTCGGCGGACACGGTAATCACGGTGCCCAGAGGGTTGACGACTTTAGTTACCGGTTGACCCACCCTCTCAAATACCGATCGCCTCCCTATTAACAGAAAAAGCCATTGGCAGGTATCAATATCGAGTTACAGTCTCCCTCTCTTTGTGTGTTCTTTTTTTTTTATTTTGTCTTTGCGAAATAGCTTGCTCGCTTGAGGTGTGAAATGATACGATAGATCTTTGCGCAAAGGATCATTCAGAATTCGGCGCTGTGTATCATGAGAGTACGTCGAGTCGGAAGGTCAAGATACGTGAAAAAAGTAACATTACAGCGACCTCTAAAACTGATTGTCGATCAAGTTTTCACACTGCACACCACAAAGACACAAATTTCATCGCAATCGTTTCAGGGCCTGCGTAAACGGTACGGTCGGCCGTAGCGATTCTTGCCGTCCAAAGGGATGGCCGTCGACTCCAGCACCAATCGAAAGGTCTTAATTTACTGAACGACGTGTCGATGGGTGCAGGAGCCGACGATCTTCTCTTTGGACGAGAAGAATCACTGTGGCCCGGTGTACATCGAGAAATGAACAAATACGACCGCTCGATTGCCCGTCGAAACTCAGAGAGAACAGAAAATAGTCTTACGAGGGGGAGGGTTAGTAGACTGTCCGCAGCCTTTCAGTTGTTTACCTCGACTCGAAGGGTAGATGTTGACAAATAGTACATCGCTGTTAGTAATTAGAATATCATTAAGGGCGGGCTAGGGGGGGAACGGAGATACCTGCCTATGGCCAGTTCTGTATCCACGCAAACTTACAAACTAACAATCATCCGTCACCAAATGCAGAAAGCAGAAGCACCGTACTCGTGGCTGCACGCGTGCTCGCGAAAGTTATCCTAACGAGTTCGACTAGATAAGGAATCACATCTGAAAGTCGCCATATTTCACCAGCAAGACATACAAACACGACGTAAAATTTACGTTCAGCACCTCCCGCGGAATTAATCGTATGTTGCTTTCTTGAAAATGTACACGGTACTGGGTAGTCGATGGAAAGAAAAATAACTTTGATAAATCACTCATGGTAAAATTACTTTCGTTTCCATTGTCTTTCGAACTTTACTGCATTCAGCAGGAAGATTCTTCGTTTGTAAGAATTGTTAACTCGAGAATATATTAAAGTCACGCGACTTGGGTATTCAAAAGTAAGCGTCTTAATCGGTCCGATTGTAAAGTTTTCTTTATCACTGTCAATTACCCTAAACGTGTAAGAACGTTACGAGATATCGACAAACGGGATATGTCAGGATGTTCACAAATTTTCTGTTTCAAAGCAAAGCACCACACGTTTCATCGAACTATTACTTACCTGGGGCACGGTGCGGCGCAATGGAGGTCTCCAGCATTGCTTCGGCGAGGTCTTCTCTCAATTGGTTCTCGCCGTTACCAACACCCGTGTTTTCGCTATCTAAGGAATCACCGTAAGCTTCCATGAACCTTGGCGACTGCTCGTAGCTGCCTGGAAAATAGGTCGAGAGTATCAGTACATTATCTGAAACAATCGTTTTGACAAACATTTTAGAAAAATAGAAAACTTAGCAAGTCTGTACAGGTATAATATATATTACATAGGTGGGGAAATTATAAACGTTTAGACTCTAGTTTTAAGTTCTCTTCGGTATACAGAATGAACAATATAACATGATCACTTTAATTGCTTACTATATTTTCTTGATATTTTGATTCAAAGTGGTCTGCAAGCTAATCATAGTACATTTACTGTAAGTCGATTTCTTTACAAGTTATCAAAGTCAATTTTGTCTTTTTTTTCTTTAATAGAATGACTATTTGTTTATGGTAGGATTTGATAGAGTAATAAATTCTCAAAGTGAAAGTATTAAGGTTAACCTATCTTAAAACTAATATTGTTTGATATATCTAGCTACTAAGGAGATACACTACGACCTTGAATGACCTTGAACATTAAGTCATTAAACATAGATTGAGTCAACAGTATTAAAAATAATTAAGGTAACCTAATTATATTGTTCACTGGATAATTTGGAATATCGAATTGCGATACGAAATTGTTTTAATCTAAACATGAATTCGAAAAAAATAAGAACTTTACAATTTAATCAAAAAAAATAGTTTATAAACTTACTTCCTGATCCATCGATAACCACAGGTACCAACGACCTAGATGCAGCACGTGGCATATTGACAGGATTTGATCTCGCGGGACGAGACACACCGGTTACCCCGATTTCAACAGCCTCAGCTTCAACGAGATTCACAGGAGCTCTACCGTTAATAAACGTTCGTTAATATAGAAATATAATAGAGTAATTTCACATGCTGCCAAGGGCTATAAAGAATGCTGCTAAATAATATTCAGGATATGAGTCCAGATGCTCAACAGGTTTTGTTTTGTTTCACACGAAAACTAGGATCTGAAAAGGTCTTACTAATATTGATCACTAAATCTGAATTTTATCTAGAAGTATTCTCTCCAGCTCTTCGGTATAGCATTTAAACCTTTTATAAAAACTAACCCGCTAGTTGCATTGTACGTTTTGAAAACAAATTGAGGTCCCATCCAAAGCCTCCTATGTGGACCAGCGTGTGTTACAATTTCTACTTGACTTAGCCAACGATCCTCTGCTACATCGACGTCTTGACTGTCTTTAGGTACAGTAACAACGCTCAGCAAAGGGCTAGATGTTGACAAAGGAGGCAGAATCTCTAAAGAATTCGGGCATCTTAAGAGAGGCCATTGACCTTTGGCTTCAACTTCGAGTTCTATCGTCGTATCGTCGCACACTTTCTCTTTTGGTATGCCTGCAATTTATTAGTCGCTAGTAGAACTTGACGAATACTAACGTGCAGATTATCCGTGTCCTTTTTCAAATAAACATCTTATTCACCTGCTGCTGGTTTCGGTTCTAAATCGTATTGTATCATGTTTCCGTGACACGCCATGATAAACAAAGAATCGACTGCCCTCTTCATAACTTTGGCAGTAGATTCTCTTTGTGCATACATCCAAGCTCTTGGGGGTGCAAAGCAAGCACATATTTTTAATGATAAGATTCCGCTATCGTCGGAGTGCAATCGTTGTCTCTGCTGCGGCCTACTATACGACAGTAAAAAACAAAGGTTTAAATTTAGAAAATGGAATAATTAAGATAATAGTTGACTTGCTAACGTTTTTGGATGTAATGTCAACCCATTTCTTAAAAAAAAAAAATGTCTACCATAATAATAATATTGTGAAACTTAGGAAGAATGTAAAATAAAATGTAATATTCTCGGTTTCTTAATTCCTATTTCCTAGGAATAAATTCAATCTCACAATTGAAGATATTAAACATTGAATAAAGAAGAAAAACAGAAATATAATAATTATCGCAGAACAATTAAACATACAGCTTTGACACATATGCAGAATATACAGAATGTCTTTTCCATATTTTATAAAAATATAAAAGCGATTTATGTTTCGTAATATCATTATTATCAAAGGAATTTGTTTACCATAGGCGAATAAAATTATACTAAAAAATGTTATATAATTAATTACCTTTGTTGAGCTTGATTGTTTACGTGATTTAACGAAGATGGTTGTCGTATCTGTGCTAGCGGGTGTAGAACAGTTGGATGAGGATACGGAGGAAGTCTTGGATTAGAATACGGATATATTGACAAAGGCAACTCTGTATGAGAAACAGGAGAATGGGATCTGGTGCCATCATCCATTAAACCTGCGCTTCTATGAAATCTTGAAAGTCTATTTACAACATGAGGTGTGGAATGAGTTCGCACTCCTACCGGCCCACCGTATGGTGCGACCGGAAACACGTGAGTGGTACCCCGTACAGTTGAAATTGCTGCCCAACGTGTATCGCTCGAAAATACCATGTCCTGTCATGACAAAGAAGCGTAAAAAATACGTCCTTAGATTAATGAAAACAATACTTATTTAAATGCTTCATGATAATTGGTTTTTCATAACAAGTAATATTTACCATTCATTCAATTAAAAATTAAAAATAAATACCTGCACTTTAGCAGTGGTATCTCCGCGATGTAAAATATACAAATGATGTACTGCTGCCAAAGCAGGACCCCCTGGATGCGGCTGAATTCTAAATACATGAAAATCATGCCCCCGTTTGTCAGCGGTCAGTAGCAACGCACCGCTTAAATCAAAAGTCATGGCAACGATTGCATCACTATGGGCAGTAAAATGAGCAATTACAGTCTCTATATTTGCATCATCTAATTCTTTCTCTTCTTTTGCTGCTTGGAGATCTAATATCGTAATCACGCCTGGTTGGGTCACATCACTGCCCGTATTATTGATAACTACCGGCGACACCGAATTTCCGGTTAAACTCGATGCAACGGTCTCTCCTAAGCCACGCAAACCTTTTCCTAAAGATTTTGCAGCGTAAAGAACAGCCGCTGTATAACTTTGAACTCCTTCCCCCTCGCAGCCCCCGCTGCTTCTTTTCGCTGGTAATAATTTTTTTTCGCTGGAAACAATATAAAATCTTTTATTATAGCAAAATTGTAGAATATCGTTTCACATTTCGATGACCGTGTTGTGGCTGTACAATTAATCAAGTAGGCATAGTCTGTTATTTGTGTGATAAATTGCATGTACAGTTTTGGATATCAAAAAATTTGTAAACAGCTTGACACGGCTATCGGTCCGCTACATAGTTTAATATTCTAGAATTCATCATTTTACAAAAAGTTAAGATCATCACCTGTAAGCAAGCCATCTCATCCCTAATGCAACAGGATTTGGATTTGGGCCAGGGCTGGCATAGCATGTGGTGACTGTTAACACATCTTCCAATGTTCGAGCATCAAACACTGCAATTTTTTCTAAAAACGTTACTACTATTGATCGCTTATTTGCCAAAATGTCACAAACAGGATTTTTAAATTTTATGCTTTTAGCTTGTTCCCCAGTTTTTAGCGAAATGAAACTAATGTTGCAAAATTGTGGTCCAGGTCCAGCTGAATCACATACTGCTACCATTGGCCGTTTCAAGTCAAACAGATCGACATGTTCATCGTCAGTCTTTGGATTTGGTAGAATTCTCAGAGTGCGGACCACTCCTTGACGCCATGATAACACTTCTGTTGCTTCTCCTGTTGCTGCTATCAACCATACCTGTATTTAATAAAATTGATTACATGTCAGTTTCATTACAATCCTGTTTAAGCATGCAAATTGTAATAAATGAGATTTATAGTACAGTACTAAAACTTCAACTTGGAATATATGTATATACTTCATTAAACGACCAATTCTAAGTATCGTGTTATTATCTTTACTAGCTGTATATGTCCCCTTATTTTAACCCCTTGACCTACACGCTATCTCCCGATTCCTCGGGCCATATTAACTAGAAAGGTAGGAAATTCGAACGAAGTACCATGAGTCGGACACGTTATTGTTTATGAACCAAATTCCTTACCACGAGTCTCACTCGTGGTTGTAGGGCAAAGGGTTAATAACGAATGAGTTTGGTTACATACTGCTCCTCCTTGATAAAATAAGATTTATTTATACATAAAGAGAGATATAGCTTTAAAATGCGTGCTACTACGAAAACAATGTTCTATAATTAGAAATCATATAAGTCTATGAAAATCCTTTATGATTAGTTTTTAATATAATTAAAAAATTGAATTAAATTGTCTCTGTAAAACTATTTGTGCAGTATTTTATTAATATGCGAAGTAACCCTTTATTGAACAATTAATATAACTGCTTATAAAAACATCAAAAATGAAAAAAGCAAACCTGAACTCCAGTTGCATAACCAAGCACCAATAATAGAGGTGGTGTATTAGAGCCTTCATTGTAGTCTGGGTACAAAGCAGGGTCATTTATGTCTGCATACTCAAACCGTGCCCATGATATAGACTCTGTGTTATCTGAATTTGGTGTGCCAGTGTAAGCCTATACATAAACAAGATAATATATATCTTCATAAAAAATTATGGAAAAAATGATACCTTCGAGTACCAACCTGTGGGACAATATCATTAATAATTCCTGCAACACTATCTATGATCGTTCGATCAACTATTGGTTGCGGTGATACAACTTGAGCTCCTTTATGCACACCACGCCTTGGAGAGTCTGCAGACATTTTTTCTTCCCAAACTGAATGTTTTTACCTACAAATAAATATTATATCTTACAAATCTATATCAAGTAGAATCACTTTGTCAAATAAGATTATCTTACATTTATTATAAGTAATGTATCATTAAAGAGTATAACTCATGATTATAATTTCAATATAATAAAGGAAAGTCATCTATGTAACATAAATGTGTAAAAAATATATTATAAGATACAGTTATATTTATTTTGCATATCAATTAAATAATTAATATCATTACCCTTCATTGCTTTGAAAAATTGGTAAGCTTTGTTTTTATAACTCCATTAATGAATAATTTTAAGCAAATAATGCATTATTTTATATTACACAATACAGTGAATAAATATTTTTACTATTAATAAATCACTATTATCAATTCGATTACAGTGTTACTAATATAATTTTATACTAATTATATTTATTTTTCTAAACAAGACTTAATTTAAATTTTGTATATACAATAGACATTAAGTCACAAATATTAACAGCAATACATATGATACAAATTAAACAATAATTTAGCAAAGGCCAAACAAATTTTTTAAATCATTAACTAAAAAAATGTTTGTAAACATGATACATAAGAGGATCCATAGTTGTTACGCTTTTAAGATTTATTCAATTATATTCAGATTAAACATAAGGAGGATACATATCCCTATTAATAGCAATATCGTGCATAATGAAGAAAAAAAATAATACGAATACGGAGATTGCTAATTAACATAAGGCAGAGCTGCTGCAAAGCATCACTTTTCGTGCTCGGAAACGTACAAAACGTTATCTGTACACGGATAATGAATAAATGAGTAACAGGGAAGTAGTGGGAGAATCTATTTTGCCTGTTAAAGAATATTACACAATCTAGTACAGCTGTTCGTCGTGTACGCTCAGGGACAATTTATAAAAGGCAAACGTAAATGTCAAAACAACGACGCAGTGAATGTCTGAATGCTTATCGCTTCCCCCCTAAAAAAAAAGGTTGGAGAAATAATGTCCGATTGCAGAAGAAAGAATTCATAGTCTGGCGTTAGAAGGGCGACCCTGACATTTCGTCGAACAAAGGGGTAGAAGGTAGTTCAGTCACAACAAAACAATCGTTTCACTACGACGTCGTTAATCACTTGTCTTACGAAAAGATGTCTACGTCTCGATCGTTTTCGAATTTAATGGAAAACAGAATCTTCGATTTACCTCGCCATAAAACTGTATTTTCATACTGGGAAGCTCGCCATCTCTGAAACGACCTTCTACTGCGTCATTCTGCGAGTGACTGACACAACACAACCAGAAAACGATAGTGATGTCACCCCGCCCGCGAAACGTCAATCTTTTTGTTCGAAATACGAAGCGCGTTGGTACAGTTGTTTGATCGCAACAAGACACGTCGGGTTCGTTGCCCGTTACGACGCGCCGACGAGAAAATTTGAAAACGTCGTCCGTTAAAACGTATCGCGTATCATAACTTCAGCAACGGTCTGTTTCGTTGAAAATACGAAAACAATAATCAGCTGATTCAGATAAGGAAATGGTGGGAAAGGTGGGGAGAGCAAGAGAAAAGCGAACACGAACCCTTGGTACTCATGAAATCGTCAATCCATCTAGATGGCATAATCGACCTAAGAATCGTGTTACCTATTTAAGGAAAGGGAAGGAATTTTCTTTTTATGTATTCAGTCAGTGACCTCATTAATAATGATCGAAGGAATTACACAGGAAGTATTATTATGGCTAAACCTAAATTGAGAGGGAAAATAACTTGTACGATAACATTCAGCCATCTTGCATTGGTCAACTAATGGCGCCGTCTGTTCGAATTACGACAGAATTGAAATGGCTATCTTCTTTTACATATTACGAGCTATTGTAGTGACTTACAATCCTAAAAATAATGTATCGTTTACAAAATTCTATATTTAAGAATAGTGGTTACAAATAAGAAGTATAATAATTCATCAATCGTTCGATAAAACAATTTTATTATAAAAATACCTTCTTCTTCTCCTTGATACATCGATAATCTTTTAGCAATCCTAAACTAACACATTCTATTACATTTATTGAAACAGACAGTTGCCTGTATTTACTTATTTTACTTCGTATCCAACTAGCATTATTTGGATGGCGTCTGAAATTGATGTGTTAATTATTTGGTCTCTTAAACAATCGAATACAACAGAAGAAGAATTATATACAATTTTAACTAAACGCGAATCGTGTCAGAAGGAATATCGTAATCAAGAAGTAATTCTGACTATAACCAACTATAACGTTATACTATGCAATGATTGTTATAGGTAGCGCCACTAGTTGATCAATGTAAGATGGTCGAAGGTTTTTGACTTTTGAAAACTGATGATAACATTTCTCTAATTTACCACCAGAGGTCTCCAAATAATTACTATTTCTCGCAAACTAAATATTAGACATTTTCCGCAACCATATGTCCCTACATTTGAAGCAGAATTTGTTAGGTAAGCGTCTGGTATAGTAATTGATACTAGAAGAATTATAAATGACATAAAGTTATTTAATTTTAATTAAACAACATTAATAAAACTGTTGTTAGAAATTAATGAAATTATAATTTCTCTTGTAATATTGGTATCATTATAACTGGTTATCATCTAACCTCGAAAGTAAAATGTATATGCTAATACAGTATTAAAATGATACAGAATTTAACGCACACGGCACATATCACGTTTTTGATTAAGTATTATACAACAGAATAAAGTTCAATGATAGGAGTAAGATGAAAACATGTGGCACTAACTACTGAAAGAAAAATTAGAAAAGTAGTAGTACTAATCAATATTATGTAAATATGTTCATTCTTCCGCCGCTACAAAGTTTTCTCTTGAATGTATAAAAAAAGAATCAAGTGATAGCAGCGCTATCTGGATGCATACAATTATTCAAATCGAGTATCTGTGTAACAGAATAAGAATTTTATGAAAATTTATTGGAATATTGAGAAGGCTAAATTAATTAAAATTAATTTGTTGTTAGATAGCTATTGCAATAATAAATGGAAATTATGAAGTCGTCTACTTCCGTACAAATATAAAGTAACGTAAAATTATATGAGCGGCAAACGATTATTATATTAATTAGTATATAATTCGATTAAATAGTATATAATTCTATTACGTAGTATAAATTTAAAAAAGGCATCAAATTTCCTCTACAGCTGAGAATGTGTTAAAATGCTGACATTGTGTACAGTTTGTTAAATCAACTTATAATTGTACTTTTTACAACTCTATATAAAAGAAAAACTTTTAAAATTAATTTCGTACGTTTAAGTTGCGTGATGTTCTCTAATTATGATGTTGCATGGCAGTTCAAACTAAACAGGCATGGCTGTCCTATTATAATAATTAGTTATTTCATAAGGTAATCATACGTAATTGCATAGCAAACCTTTTGAAAACAAAATAATACATCAACTTTTAAACATATGTTAATTTTAAATAACTTGAATTAACTTTCAACTTTTAACTTAGATTTACTTTTTAAACGAGGTAAGAATTGGATAGAGTAAATTGTGAGAAATAAATTGTTTAGGGAAATTCAATGCTGGAAAGTGTTCAAAGTAGCAAAGTCTTAAAAAATGTTGATACTTATACGTGTACATTTTTTAACTTAATTTTATTGATATTTCGTTTAAATCGGTTTAGTCTTTGGGGGAAAAAAACAGAAACCAATATAATTCTATCTGCCTTACGATTGTACGGAAATAAGACATTAAACGAACCGCGTCATAATCCATCTAAACCAGTGATTCTCAAGCTTCACCTTTCTGCAGACCCCCAAAAGTAAAATTATATCATTAGTATTATATTATAAGCATTTAATAATAAATTACTTTTTCCAGATTCAATTGTTCCATTACAAACATGAAATTGTAAATAAATATATTAAATTAAATAATATAAATTTTCTGTTTTTTTATTTCTTTTAACAGGAATAGGATAAAACCTAGTGAATCGTGAATAGAATAATTCCAAATTTGTGAGCGTTATAGTTTCTAATTCCTTTTATGATACTTTTGTTATTTGACAACAGAAAACTTCCTAAGGTATTCTAATTCTATTTTTTACTTGCATTTCGCTATATGCAATATACGTTTGTTCTTTTCCTGGAATGTTACGGACCCCTAGAGGTTCGCGTACTCCAGGGCCGGCGCAAGGCAGGTTCAGCACGCTCGCCGGAACCCGGCCCCGCGTTTTAAAAGGTCCCGCGGTCTACGAAAATTACTGAATTAAAAGGTACCGATTTTGATTAACTTTTTACAGACTGTTGAATCCATTAACAAATGGAAGCAATTTTTGCTGAGATGCAAGACATTCTTTAGTAGCGATGATTAAATTGAAAGGAGTGACAAAAATCATCAAAGTATTATTGTTTAATATTCATCTTATAAAAAATATATAGCATTTGTAAATAAATAATTCCTCGTTGTAAAATTCAAGTGTAGAATTTGAATGTGAATTCAGGCCTCGCAAAATTTTTGAGCCCGGCCTCGCAAAAGGTCACGCCGTCTCTGGCGTACCCCTATTTGAGAAACGCTGGTCTAAACGAAAAACGTAAACGAAATTGCCCTCTAGCTCATAATCGATTTAATACCCGAAACGATTAAATTTATATCTTTTCATCGGAATTATGCAATTTAGGAGGGACGTCGCGTTACTATTCATGCGGCTCAATAAATCTTGCTACCTTGTAAAGCACAATACCAGTACAAGGGACTATAATTACACGGAATTCAGCGTAAGATTAATATTTCATGTCGGGGGCAATGCATAGGATATTCTTATCGTGGAATCCTCGATCCTCTAATTCACTATAATTACCTGTGCGTGTATTTGTGCAGCCCGAGACCGACTTAATCGGTGAAGTTTGCGTGTCCTCCATGTCACCGACGTCCCCTAACAGCAAGTCGGAAGGCATGGGCCCCCCAGCTTAGAAATACGCGGATTCTACAGTCTCTCACTGCTATTCGGGCAAGATAGATCAAAGAGACCGCGATTCAAACTCTATGCCACTGAAAATAAAATAAAATTGTTCGATTAAAAAGATATTCGACTATCTTTAAAAATGATGCGCCGAAAGAGGGTACATTTGGAAGTCATTATTCAAATATTACAAATGATTACTATTGTGCTTGTTTACAGTTAAACGTTTTTCGCTATTCATATTACATTTTACATACTTTTTCAAGAAAAATGTAACTATCAGTGGATAAGCTGTTATAATTGTCCACGACAGGAAACATTCTCTTGTCTAGTTTTTATAGCAGAGTTTCCATGAAATATTTTAATCTTTTACAGAGAAAAATGTTGTTAATAATTCTTTCCAGGGTGGTTTAAAATCTTCGCGAAAGATGGCAAAGAAAGCTGTACCCGCGGCATTGCAAACTGAAATTTCTAATAATGATGAATGGGAAAAGCTGCTCACTAGAACGGGATTAATAGGAAAGTATAGATGTGTATTATATATTTACATTATATTGTATAATTTAGTATAAAAGACTACATCATTTGGTGTAATGATGACAAGGCATTTATAATTGTTTAACGTTATTGATCAGCCTCAGAACAAGTAACATGTAATACTCTGTAATCAAAGAAGTATAAACATTTTAATAATCATTAAAGTAACTGAATGAAAAATTTAATAATGAAACGCAGTTTTTAGTAATAGTATTGTGTTTTAACAAATTTCGACAAATCCTTTCTAGTGGTAGATGTCTATTCAGAATGGAGCGGACCCTGTACAGGAATGGTGAGCATCCTAAAAAAAATCAAAATGGAAATCGGAGGAGACGCGTTAAGTTACGCTACGGTAATCTCTAATTTCTCTATTATATTATAAATACACTTATGAAATATAGAAACGTTTATAATCGTTACCGTGTATTTAGGCGAAGTGCGATTACATCACGGATTTAGAACGTTTCCAAGGGAAGAGTGAACCAATATGGATGTTCATTCACGTGAGTAAATTAAATAAAAAATACCAGGCGAAATCACAGAATGCCTAAATTGTTAATTACTGAAAATGATACATAATATAATAAAATATTATTTTTATTCAGGATGGTCGAATGGTGAATCTTATGTTTGGCGCACAATGTCCACAATTGCTGAAAATGTTAACAACGGAATTGCAACGAGTACAGAATGGCGAAGAACACGAGTATGTAAAATATATAATTTATATTATATTAATTATATAAGAAATGGGAAAAGATAACTTAACTTTTAGCAATATGGAAAGTAAAATTTATTATGAAATTGCTAATCTTGAAATTAACCTTTGACGAATCGATTGCGATTTAAAAAAACATTTAAATAATTATTATTTTCATCGCACACATGTAGGTTTTCTCTAGACGTATCTGAAAGAAGTCCAGAGGAAATAACACAATTAAAAATCATCGAAGAAACTAGAATAGCTAAAGAAGCGGCAAAAAAAGCTCGAAAAGGTTTTATATACAATGTAGTATAGAAGCAATTATAGTACTGTAAACGCAAGTCAATGTTTGTTCACCTATCTGTCATATAGTACGATTCTAAGATATGATTGATAAGCACTTTGTTACTTCATAATGCAATTTTCTTCTTTTGTTTCCTCCACAATAGACCTGTATAGATAAAATCAAAATGTCTTATAGCGTATGTGATTTCGCAATGCTGCATTCTACACGCTTTATTGAAACATATTGATACGTATTCACTCATTAGATTTAATGAGAATAAAAAGAATATACTTCATATGCAATGCTTATCTGCTCGATATTAATTTAACGCAGAAGCTGAGGCGATAGCACGATATGAAGCGGAGATGTTACATCTAACCACTTCATTAAACAAAGAAACTTGTCTTCTACTTTACCCGTGGATTTTTAAAGACGAAGAAGGTCATAGAAGAGATAAAAGGTCAAGTCCTCCGTACGTGGAGTTAGTTGAAGAGATTTTACCTGGGAATTATGTTGTTGAACAAGAATTGCGGAAGCGACTTGACGAGGATATTCTCAATACTATGTTTAAAGAAGTAACGTATTAAGAAAATATTATTATTCATATTAACTGCTAATATATTCAAAGATTATTATTTAACAACAAACACAATTGGAAAATTGAAAATGTTTAATATGAACTTTATCATTATAGTCCGATTATGCATTGTCAGCGAATTTTAAACAATTACTTATGGACGGTAAATGCATGTTCATGAGGTTGAAAGTAAATGAAGAAAAGTCAGACGTTGACATTCATCAGCACTTGTTAAGTCTCTTATTCGGAGAAACAGAACTTCCTGACCCGGAAAAGTCTCTTAACGAAGAATGGTACGTACATACAAAACGTATGCAATTTGTAATCAAATTTGAAATTTTGCAATGAATACCATATTGGTGTTTACGATATATATAAACACGTATATAATTTTAAAAATAACTTTACCTTTTATGCGTACTTAATCGATTTGTTTTTAGTTTTGCTAAACGTCACCGGCCTGCTTACGCGACCGAAAACGATGGCCAAGTTTTTCCTGTTGTGTGGTCACCACCAAATTGTAGAAACAAGGCAATCGCTTTTCGTACAATTTTCACCACATACACTAACAAGACATATCCGGTGAGCGCGATAAACTTAATTGTATGCACAAGTATCTCATTATATTTTATTTTTCATTTTATAGTACGAAGATAAAACTGCAAAATTACCTATAGTAGTATTTAAATATGATTACACGAAAAAAAATGATCTAAAAGTTGTTTTAGAAGAATTTGAAGACGAAGTCATTAATTTTGGTATCTTTGAATCTGATAAACCACCAGAAGCAAAAATTATAGCCAAGAGTATAAACGAGTTTGAATTAAACACAAGAGAGAGAACTGGGTAAATTTTAAATTACTATTATATACTATATAACGAATGCTGTAAAATATATAACATTAACTTATACTGACAGGTATGAAACATTTGTATGCGTTGTAAAAAAAGTAGGATGTGAAGCATTTTTAGGATTTGCTGGTATTGGGCCTTATCATGTGAGTGAAAATCCGGAAAAGGGTACAGAAGAATCAAAATTATATTTCCCGGATGTTTCTGCTATAGAAGAAACGCAATCAGATGACGAAGAAAAGCCTGAAGAAATAGTAGAAGAACTTGATGAAAGCAAAAATGCAACATGAAGTATAAATATGCACTAGAATCTCAATTTCTTACCTACAATATTAAATTACTTTAAAATAATTGCTTCAGTGTTTAATTTTACATTAAATATAAATACCAGCTACTTAAAAATAAAGGGATTAATAACATGTAGAAATGTTGTTAAGAAGCCAACATTTATTTTCCAGTCGCCTCAACTTTCTATATAAAAGAATGTAGAGATAGGCAAAATGCTGAGATTTTGCAAGTTAACTTACGGGTATGGTATAATAAATGATGGCAAATAAACAAAATTTATTTCTTATAACCACAGCTACGCCTACGGCCTCTTGCTCTTTCAAACTTTCGACCTTTAGAGCGTACAAATGGTTTTGTGTGAGAATGTGGTACACCAGGTGCAGGTCCAAAGTGTTTCACAGCTTCACGTGCATTACGAGGACCTTGCATCAAGACTGTTTTCTTTCCAGTTGGTGCACGTAATGCTAACTGATCAAAAGTCATCAGCTCACCTCCAGCTTTCAAGATACGAGCTCTAGCTTTTTCAGTAACACGTAAAGCACAAACCTGTAATACAAAATATATAGACCAAAATAAATGTATTGCATATCTTTGAACAGTTATAATTATTCATTAAAATAATAACGAATGTGTAACAAGTACATTATTTAAATGACTATTTATCAGTTTAAATGCAAAAATGACACAAAAAATCAATCAAATTAAATGTTACAAAACTTATTTTTTTAAACAATGTATTACAAACATGCATTTCATTTACCGTAAGTTTAGGGATTTCAAAAATCCTAGCGTCATCTGTTACTGTGCCAACAATTACTGCAATACAATTTTCTCTTCCAGGTTTCTTCATAAATCTGACAACGCGTGCCAGAGATATTGGAGGACGATGTATCTTGCTCATAAAAAGTCTCTTGAGGATGATCTTATTGAACTTAGCATTCGTACGTCTAGCCAAGAAGCGGTAAAGCTAGAACAAAAATAATAATACATATTTTTGTAGGTTATTTTCTTATGAGAAATGTTAATAAGAATTTGCATTAATAACAAATGCGAACTTCTATCAATTATTTTGTTATAATGTGTCAACTGGAACAACATCTTTTAGCCTAGTGCTACAAGACTGAATAGTAAATTGACTATATTTTCTTTAGCGAACGTTCAAATTGGATCAATACATGCGAGTACTGACACAGAGTGCGGTTCGCAAAATGAATTTATATTTGTATCTCACGTGTACCTGACAATAACAGTGATGTTTCAATTAGAGTATTACAAGTCAACTACAAAAACAATGGTAACAAACATCCGAAGAACTTCTTGTCAGACAGTATGACAAAATTAATATCGAATTAAAAGAATGATGCATAATTTAAAATCAAAATTTGATAATACACGTGGAAGTACTTACTTTGACGAGAAGTCGCAAGTAGACATCTTGCGATTTAGGTTCTGTACGCCGAACCTTCCTATCGTGTTTGTGGTTAATATCGATACCCTAGAAACGAAATAATTATCGTTAAGTTTCTTTGATGCCTTTGAAACCTTATTCAAATTTGCACTCATCGCGATTGGCACAGATGAATCAAACGTTTATTGATTTTATAAATACAACAAATCCACCGCACCGCCTTACCATTTCGATAAACCGGAAAAGAAACGGACGACCCCGTACGCGAAGCCAATAGGGAGTCGTGAAACGGATGTTTAAGATGGCGCTGTTCATTAGACTCACGAAAGGTTAGGTCGGGTTCCGCCATTTTTCAGCTAACCCCGCCAAATTCAGATTGAAAATCATAGAGTGTTACACAAAAATAATAATAATAATAACAATAACAATAAAGACCTCCTGATTAGATGATTATGGTCTCTGCAACATAGCCATAGATCTAACTTTTAAAATTGTTGCTAAAAGAAAATTCACTAGAAAAATAGTTAATGAACTGCTGAATACGATAATTTACAATATTTATTACAAATATCAATATGTATATAACTAAAAAGAAATCGATATTTATAAGAATAATTTTATTGTTTCGCCTTTTGTTTTCCTGAATCAGGATTGTCAACTTAAGAAAGAAAAGAACTTTATAAATATTTTTATATTTAAAGATATTGTTTTGAAAATTGCTTTGTATTACATTACGGAATAAAAGTTATTCAAATTTTGTCAATTACATAATAAAACATTTATCTTATAGCAGAATTGAAAATTTTAATATGTTGTTTAACAGCATATTTGTTACATACTTGTAAATGATTTATATATTACTTTCGCTCGTAATACTTGATTTTAATTAAATGTAAGTACAACATATCATTGTTTGACGTTATCAAACTATAGAAACAATCATTTAGATTACTATACTAAATGACATGATAAATAGTACATATATTGTAACTTTCAAGTTTTCAAGTAACAATTAATTTAATATATATGTGTAATTCTTTTATTACAACAAAATTACATTCATAACATACGTAAACTATACAATGTTAGTATGTATAACATAAATTTTCAATAGTTCATTAATTTTATAATCATCATTGTTCAATTTCATATCTAAGGCTAACGTCGTTTGCGACGTTCGGCAGTGTTTACACACCCGCGACCTGCCCCGTCCTTTGTAACGTTTTTTGTGCCTCGGTTCGAGAGCGGCTGTAACTTCTCGCTCCGAATTTCTAACAGTCGAAGTCGAGCCGCAAGACGTTACACACGTTGACACCTGTGAGCCCGTCAGAAATACTCCGAACTACCGGCTACCAGTAACATTGTGTATTTCTTGTGAAATTTACTTTAAATAATAACAGGAAGAAACAATCATTATGTTAAAAAGCTCAAAAGTTTCAGCAAAAGAAATGAATGAACAAGTCAATATACACAACGTCGATCATAATTAATAACTACATAATGATGCATATAATTTTATTATACAAAAAATGATCTACATAAAACTTTTGATTCGCGTGGGGTTGGTGCATTGAGCTCTATCCTAACTGGAGTGTAAACTGCTGTAGGAAGAAGTAGAGGCGACGGAGGTCCGAGAGAAATGCAAAATGGGTGGTTCCGGTATTATCCTATAGCAAATTTACTTGTAGAGGGGGAATAAACGTACGCCGTAACATAACCTACCCGAGCATCGCTGAGCATTGTCGAGTGAGTTACTTTCAGATTCTTTTCCGCATAAAATTGTATAAATACAATATAAATTGAATTGTGACAAATAATAAAATTTAGCTCTATATGAAATTGTATATATTTGTATGATCTAAATTATGGTATGTAAATTATGTATACTATTTCATTATTATGTCATTATTATTAATGTTTCTATCGTTTTATATATAAATAAAAAGGAAATAAAGTTCAAATCTGTACATAATTATAATTCCTAGAGTGCCGCGAAATTCAAACAAAGAGGAGTCTGTTCTCCCTCCACACATAAATTTGCTATAGGATAGTACCACTGGAACCGCTCATCTTGCATCTCTCTCGGACCGACTTCTCTCTCGCAGTTCACACTCCAGTTAGGATAGAGCTCTATGGATTGGTGATAAAGAGCTTCTTTTGAAGTACATTTGATTTTCGCAAGATGGCGTTGGGGGTTTCACCAACGCAGCGATTGAAACGAGCTTGTGTAGTTTTTCTGTGGCTCATAGCCCTCTAGCGACGAAATTGGCAAATATTGGCGCATAGTAATTGGTCCTTCAGGTTTTATCCAGACAGTATATGCTGTGGATTTCAGTGCTTCGAAGCAGTTCAATGCACGAATGCGCGTAAGTACGAGAGTAGTTGAGATAATAGTGAGATAATCTTTTTCACTTGCAATTTGAAACAGTACGTTCTCTTGATTACGGATGTTCGGTTCAGAAATATCGTAAACAGTGTAACACGAGGAGAATACAGTCGTCGTTCAGTCGGAAAACACTTCAACCAGACGTTATAAGTGCGTTGCCCGAGAAATGCACGTGCTTCGATAAATTTACAATGGGACAAACCGAATCGACCAAGTAGATTACAAAAAAAATGCTCAACAAAACAAACGAACGTGCAAGTAGAAATTGATCTATTGGATAATCAGCGTCGGCTCTCTTTTTTAAATGGAATCATTCGAAACAACATCCCGGAAAATCGAGACAAAGGAGCCTGTCATCGAAAAGAGATGTCGGTGCATCGTGTGCCTTAAATATTACGATAATGGCCTGGCCATGGTTCAAATATCGGTGTGATTCACGTTTCTTATTGAATGAAAGACGGTCATCAGCGTGTCATGGAGGACGGTGGTCAAGTGCATTCTAGCACTCTTCTTGAGGAAACCTTTTATGTCACGTCCAAGAAAAACACCTACTACAAGGTGAGACTAACGGAGAAGGGTCTCAGTCTGGAGAAAGACAATAATGGTGCGACGAAGGTCGAAACGATCGTTCTAAACGACATAATTGGATGCAGATGTATGCGTTCGAAACGTAAAAACGCGGGAAGCTGTGTCTGTGGGCCAGGCTCCTCGAGATCGCAGGTCAAACTCGTCGAATCCGTTGATGCTTTTCCGTGCTATGACGAGTCCGACACCTCGGCCTATCTTTATATTTACGCTTACACATTGAAAAAGGTCCGCATGAAAGGCGTGAAGAGACGGGAAAGAATGACGATCACTCTACGGTTTCGCAGCTTCGACAAGTACGAGGATAATCTACGTGAGGCTAGCAGGTGGCGATTAGCCATCAAATGTCTAATTGCTGGCGTGCCCGTTCCGAAAAGCTTCATGAGTCCCACTCACGAGAACCTTGAATCGTTGATCAATGGTAAGTTGAAGTTTTTCGTGTTACTACGAGACTCGCATAATAATTTATCAAAGTGCTCGACAATCGCCGTCGTTTTGTTGACCAGATACCGAGCGCAGATAAATTTGATGACAGTGTTAAATAATCGATGCTCTCGGTGTTATGGAATAGTAACACGCGACGCCGGAGGTGAATGTAATATCGTTCCTAAGGCTGGTCAAACCTCTCCGGTAACACCGTTACGTGTATTCCCGGCTTAACGTAGATAGGACGAATTTTATTCGAATAATAGATAACAAAACCTCTTTTAAGCTGCCAGGACCAAATCAGCAGAATCATATCGGACTTAGTGGAATATTTACTACTTATTTTGTACTAATTTGTACCATCAACAATAATTTTGTACCTCGTACCGTATTCGAAAAAATCGTGACGCTGCTAGCTTAATATTAAGCTAGTGGCTGAAAATGTTAAAAAATAATATAAATGAAAAAATCAAAACGAATACATGTAGTACTGAATTTGTATTAATTTGTACCACTAAAAGAAATTTTGTACCTCGTACCGAAAAAATTTGTATTCGAAAAAATCGTGACGCTGCTAGCTTAATATTAAGCTAGTGGCTGAAAACGTTAAAAATTAATATAAATGGAAAAATCAAAGCGGATACATTTAGTACTGAATTTGTACTAATTTGTACCACCAAAAGAAATTTTATACCTGTTACCGTTTTTCAGAAAATCGTAATATTAATATTAAGCTAGCAGCGCCACGATTTTTTCGTAAACGGTACGAGATACAAAATTTCTTTTGGTGGTACAAATTAGTACAAATTCAGCACTAATTTTTATTAATTTTGACGTGTGGTCCAGCTGGCTTAATATTAAGCTAGCAGCGCCACGATTTTTTCGAAAACGGCACGAGATACAAAATTATTGTTGGCGATACAAATTAGTACAAAATAAGTACTAAATATTCCACTAAGTCCGATATGATTCTGCTGATTTAGTCCTTAACGAATATGGTATACATTACTTTTCCTACTGACAACTTTATCATTTCATATATTTTGATTCTCAAATTAAGTAACGAATACAAAAGTATATATTTTTTTTTTAATTTCAGTTCCATGTTTATGAAAATGTTATAAAGAAATTTTTCTAAGAAATTTAAAAAAATATTAATATTATGCGTAAAAATTAATTCTATGCCTCTGTATGCGATTATTTATAACTTTAGTTTAAACAGATATATTTAGTCGTCATTTTTGCGTATTAATGTACCAATATGATCTCTGTTACAATGTATGTATCTATACACAACATAAATCTCAACTTGATGGTCAATACAATACCAATGTTCATATACATATACGTTGTAATGGTCATCAGGTTAGAACTTAAGTTATGTAATGTACATGTATAGATTTATTGTAATGAAGACCAGGAGAACCTAGAAGATTGGACATTCAAAAAATAATAACAAAATGATGATTCAATATTTACGTTATAGATGAATGAATATAAACCCACAGAGTTAATTTCTACACATAATTTCTAATAGATATAAAAGTTTATTTCAATTCGTTATTATCGTGTACATTTTCGTTTGATTTTTCCTCATTAAAAAACGACAAACAATTACGTTACAAGCTAGCACACGTAACCTTGAATTAGATATTCTTTTGTACGTGTTTCAACATAACGAATTGCCAATAATTAAAATTATCAAACACAAATATTCGTCGAAAAGTACATATCGTCATGAATTTTCAAATCGGAAATTTCTAAGACTTTACTTCAAAAAGAAAAAAAAAACAAATAGAAAGAATTAGCTGATATTTTTTCGTTAGGCACTCGTATTTTATTTTACGTTGAAATAAATCAATTCATTTAAATAACTGTTTGAGTTATACGGATTTTGTTTTTTCTTCGGTTTACGCGAATTTTATACCGGCATTTACATTTTGGCCACACGATTGCATTGCTATCTACCTTAAAATGTAAATACGAAGGGCAAAGTTTATTAGAATGTGAAATACTTTCTATTAGATACCTTGCATATGCAGGCCAGGTGCCAACATATCTTTGCCCGAATAGATTTATATAAGTGTCTACAGTACATTTGTATTTGTACAGTACAACAAGTGTCTTTTATGCATAATATTTTCCTTTTACATTGAATGCCAATAGTCGAATACTTAGAACGAAGTTGTATAATAATACTAGACAGAAGTTTAAAAAAGCCATGTGTCATGTTCGTATATGATGATTATTGCACATTGACTGACTTTAGATTCTAACTGCCCATTTTTTATTATTTTTCCGCGTGACTTCAATTAATATTAGTTTATTGGCATATTTTTCCTTGTAATAATATTCAATGTCATTCGTGATCGTTAAATATTTATGGATATATATATAATATATATATTAATTATTTGATGGCAACGTAAATCAAAATTGAATCAGCATTTGCTCGAATGGAGCTCTTTTTCCGATTGAGTTCTTTTTATTAGCGCATTTTTTCCATCGTAACGTCCACGTTTGAAGCAAACAGAAAAATCATTATTCACCGGTAGCAGAATATCTGTGAAATTTATGCGCATCCGTTTCCTGTTTCGGTCATTTCGATCGCTATTTCTCCTCTCTATTTCTCCTCTCTATTTGTGAAATATTTGACGATAAATTTTCACCGAGTACTTCTTATTTCCTATTACGCATTGTTCGAAAGCATTCTCTTCCTCATTTCCGAATTATCATTTTGCAAAGTTGGTGCCAAGGAAAGTTCGGCAATTGATGCACACTGAGAAATTTGAATTTTTGTAGAAATAAAGTTCGTAGGGACCTAATCACAATGCCCTTTTCCATTTTGGTCTAAAAGTCGTTTTAAGGGTGGAAACACCCCTTCGGAATTATTCTGGTTATTCATATCTTCGCTAATATCTCTAAAACCATAAGAGATATTAAAGAAATGTATTTGACAACAGTTTTATGTCTCATCGAGATATTCGAGATTAACAATATTTCGTGTACTTTATGAACGAAAATCAGACTCGATTGAAACAACAAACTTAAAATGAATATAAAAACAAACACGATCAACGGAATATCTTTATTTGATATTTCACAACTTATTGACCTTAGTGTTTGTAATTACCTTTTCACTCGTTATAATATCCGCTTCCTTTGTTTAATACGTCAGGGAAAAATTACGAAATGAATCAACCTTTCAATATCTTTTGTTTGGAACGATTAATTGACAATATTACAACCGTTACGTACTTTTTCATTGTTATCGCTATACAGGCATGAATTTATTTTAAAAAAACAATCCAAACATTCACAATTGAATGGCTGTTTTTTATGCTGATTCAATGAAAACTTAATCGCGATTGAGAAATGCTAAACAGTTGTCTTTTAATACTGAGCACTTAAACATGTTTACACAAAATTTCAAATATAGATTCAGTAACACTGTTCTTACTGTTTCACCATATATTTCAAATAATTTTTAAAGAAGAATGTACATCAAAAAATTATTTTATTCTTACAATAAATATTAAGAATTCTGGATAATGCAACAAAACGTAAGAAATAATTTTAGAACATAATATTGGATTCAAGTAATCAGCATATCAAATACATTTATTATTTAATTCAAGAAAAATATAAATTTTGGTCTTTGTTAATGTTGAAATTCTAGAAAAAAAGATAAAATGAAATCATTGTACACCTTGGTGTCCATCCGTCGCCTCCGCCTTCTCTTTCGGCTATAGTTATTCGGTGAAGTGTTGTTTTGAATAATTAGAATTTCGTAGTAATTACACCAGTACTTTTTGTACCCTATTATCGCAGTAATTCTACATATTGTTTCTTGGTGCATGGCATATTCCTTTTAAATTGCATAACATGGTCAAACGAATCGTATAATCACGCCTGTGTTGCAGCTCATTATGAACAATCATTTTCCTATAGTTTCCAGAAATGAATATCGATTCTAGAGAAGAACTTAACAATCATCGCAATTACAATAATCTTTAAATTTTAGATACGATTCTCATCGTATTTATTCATTTCTATCAATTTTATTTCATCATTATTAATTCATCTACTCCATTTTGAATATTTCCAGTTGACAACTTTAATAAAATTCATGAATTAATTTCGTGTTTTTAATCCTTCACAGACAAGATTATTGGAAAATTAATAAATTCTTTGATAGTAAGAACAAAATATTTTTTATTTAACTGGATTTCGGTTACTTACAATTAGTGCTAGCCATTGTCGACCAATAACACAAAATAACTGGAAAACAAAAATTATTGGTAGGATATGGAATACGGTATAGAAAATAAAATCTTTTTCTTGAACAATTTCTTTATACAAGTTTATTCTTCATTATACGATTCGTTGTCATTGTTTTACCAATTATTTTTATGTAATATGTTACGGTTCGATAATACTTGCTGAATAAAAAAATGTTCTGGTCGTACTATCAGATAAACAGAGAATTTTCCCCGCGAATCATGCTGGCTAAATGTAGATTTACGAGAGGGGCTTATTAGACCTGTCTTAGGATGTTCATTATACGGCACTTCAAAGGCAACCGATTCCAAGATTTCGTTGCATCGGTGCCAAATGTTTGCCCCTTTAATAACGTCGACAACCTGTAGAGTAGCGAGAATTATGTGGTTTACAAATAGTTTCGATTGTCGTTGAAAGAGTTGCAAAATGATGTCTCCCGTCTCGTATTTCCATTGTTTATTATCGAATTAAATATCCATCGATAAGGTAGCGATTATCATTAATTGGTTCTAACAAGTTTTCAATGTTTGTAATTTTCTCAGTTGTTCAATCTTTGAAACTACCCATGCTTCTATCCAGGAATTATATAATTAGAGACAATAAAATATTTTCTAGGAAAAATGCATGATTAATTTTATGCAATAAATCGAGTTAGTTCCGGCACATTTTTTCAACTGATGTTACAACCAATAGTAGTATTAATAAGATATTGGT